ATTATGAGTTGATTATTAGTACTCCATATGAAAGACGTGGTCATCGTCGTTCACCCATCCCATTAGTGTACTTGTCATAAGTCTATTATGAAGCCTTCTCTGTCTAATGTTCCTCCTATTTGGAAAAATAATTGTAAAGGTCGTGATAGTCCAAGATCTTCTTTTCCATGTAGAAAGCATATGGACAATCATTTTTCGGTGTCATTGGCTCCAATTCCTCCCGTTAAGTCCCTTCTAGGTCCTCCCCCGTCTGATATTCCTCCAATTTTGAAAAATAAGGGTAAAAATTTTGATAATCATCATTTGGCTTCATTGGCTCCACCTCCTCCCGTTAAGTCCCTTCTAGGACCTCCCCCTTCTAATGGTTCTCCAATTTTGAAAAATCAGGGTAGAATTTCTGAAACTCCAAAGTCTTCTTCTCACTTGTTGTGCGTCAACTGTAAAGACTTTGGTCACATTTCTTCTAAATGTCCTAATCGAACCCTAGTCATGAAAGAACGAAAGAATGTAATAGAGGAGCCGTTAGAAGATCTAGTCTATGAACCTAAACTTGAAGATTTTGATGACTTGGATAATAGTGAGGACACTTCTTTAGGTGGACTCCAGACTCTTCCCGAGACTTTAGATACTATACCCCTTGTTTCTGACAACTCTCGGTCACATGTTATATGTCATACCCTTGCACAACTCAAAGAGTTTGATGATTTCACTGGCCACCCTTGGAGAATCCAGTCGCCTGTGGACCCTTACCCAAGTTAAAGAGCTTGATGATGTCACCAGTCACCCTTGGAAAATCCAGTCACTTGTGGTTAACACTAAGGCAAAATTATCCACCACTGACCAACCTCAAATTGATGGTCAAAACAAAAGTGCTAACCAAAATCCTGACAATTTATTACAGTCTCTAGTCCAGAAAAATCTTAGGAATTTGGACTTGATCCCTCCAATTGTTCAAATTGCATATAACGATCCAGTGAACTGGTGTTTAGGTCTAAAACCCTTTGAAATTATTCTTGGTTGTGAACCTTTGAAACCTCTAGACCTTATTCTCATGCACCCACATGCTTGTGTGTCTATGTCAGTTGAGGTAGTTGTATCACATTTTCATAGCTTGCATATTAAGATCAATAAACAATTTGAAGCAAGTAAAGCATTATATAAACCTCAAGTTGTTTGACATAAACAATACTTTGAATTTAATATTGGGGATTATGTTATATTGCAAGCGTGTAATGCTGGTCTTTTTAAAATTTCAAGGCATGTTGGTCAAAATGCCTATGTCAATGACCTTTTATCACATTATGACCACCACCCTATTTTATTTGTTACGGACTTCGATGCTTACAACGGCTATTTTAGCCCTTCTGATGACCCGTTTCTACTCCCACATAAGAATTCCCACACTGACTCTTTTGCCATGTCTGCTTCAATCTCACCTATCACAGCACACAAAAATAAAATTGATGTTATTTTGGATGAACAGCTTGTGTTGACCAATAATAGAGAGATTCAAAACTTTCTTGTTCGTTGGATGGATCGACTTGATTCTGACGGCACATGGATTCCCAAAGAGAGACTTCAGCAGTGTGAGCCAAATTTATTGGAGCTTTATAAGAGTCAGCAAAATTCTCACTCGCCTAAGTTATCTTGGTCAGCTCATGTTTTTGCGGGTAATTTGCAATTGGCATCGTCACCATTTGTGGAATTTCGATATTTGGTTCGTCAGAGAGATCGTCCCCCATGGCATAACTTGGAGCCTTTAGCATCAGATTCATTGCAACATTTTGATTTATCCACTCGACGGGGTCGAGTTTTTCTCCCACCCCGGGAGAGTTGATGCAGACATCCATTTACTATTTATTTTCTTCCATTTACTATTTATTTTCTTTTTGGACTATTAGTTATATTCTAGTTGGATTATTATTTATATTTCTGTTATTGGGCTTGTTTAGTGGGTTTGGCCCAAGCCCTTCTCTTTAGGGTTTGTGTTTTGCTATTTATTTCTGTTTTGTTTCTCATTTGAGACAGTTGATGATGAATTAGAATTGAAATATTTTTGGTGGCTTGCAGCCGTTTTCTCCCTCCCCTCTCTTCCCCTGGTTTTTTTCTCCTCTTCTCCCTTCTCTCTGTTTCTCCTACCCGTTCCTTCTTCTTTTTTTCTCATTCATCCTACATCAACTTGTCTGCATCGACAAACACATTTCCATCTTTTGCTCCGAGTTTCACACTTGGTATTATAGGGGCATCACCAGGTTTTGCTTCAGCTAAACCTGTCTCATCCATTAGGTCCAGAGCATATTTCCTTTGAGATAGAAAATTTCCTTTACTACTTTGAGATATCTCTATCTCTAAGAAATATTTCAAAGGACCTAGCTCCTTTGTTTGAAATCTTGTGCCTAGGAAAACCTTTAGCATATTTATGCCACTGCTATCACTATCAGTAATCACAGTATCATCAACATATACAACTAACAAAATGCACCCAACTGTAGACTGTTTAAAGAATACTGAGTGATCATATGTACTTCTTTTCAAACATATTCAATCACAACCTCACTAAATTTTCCAAACCAGGCATGAGGTGATTGTTTCAGATCATGTAATGACTTTTGTAGTTTGCATACCTTCCCTGACTCTCCCTGAGCAACAAACTCTGGTGATTGCTCCATGTAAACTTCTTCGTACCAATCTCATGGAGAAATACATTTTTAACATCCAGTTGGTAAAACGGCCAATGATAGGTAGTAGTAAGAGAAATGAACAACCTAACAGAAGCTAGTTTAATAACAGGAGAGAAAGTCTCAGAATAATCCATACCATAAGTTTGAGCATACCTCTTGGCAACCAAACGAGCCTTCAATCGAGTAACAGATCCATCAGGATTCATCTTCAATATAATCACCAATTTACATCCAATTGCCTTTTTATTGAGGTGTAAAATAACCAATTTCCTTGTGTGATTATGTTCTAGTGCTAACATTTCGTCTTGCATGGCTATTCGCTAGCCACTATGGGATAAAGCCTCGGAGATAGATTTTGTTATGGACACATGCTTTAAGGAAGCAATGGAAGATTTGGAAGATGGTGACAATGTATGGTAAGAAACAAAAGAAGAGATAGGATAAGTACTTGATTGTTTACCTGAGAGCAATGGGAAGATCAAGAGTAGGATCCCGAGGGGGTGACAAATCCTAAGGCGAAGTAGCAGGGAGACGAGGCAAGTCATGGCCATTATCAGGTGCCCCCAAAGATTGCTGCACGACGAGTGTAAACACTTCGAATAGGAGGGCGAGAAGACACTGCTAACACTGGTGTAGTCACAGTGTAAATAAGGAAGTCATTCCCAGACTCAATAGAAGATGGATTAGAGGACACAGCAGTACTAGAAAAAGGGGTGGATTGAAAAAAAAAGTGACATCAGCAGACACTAAGTATCGTTCTTAGGAGGGAGAAAAGCATCGATAACCTTTTTGATGCCGAGAATAACCCAAAAATATCTAGGATCAAGTTTGAAAACTTGAGATCTCATATCTTGAACAAAGCAAATGTACCCAAATATTCTAGGAGCAAGAGAGAAAAGAGTTTGAGAGGGAAATAGAATGGAATAAGGGATTTTACTATCTAAGATAGATGAAGGCATACGATCGATTAACACGCAGTAGAGACTACATCTGTCCAAAATTCTTCTGAAACTTTCATATGAAAAAGGAGAGCTTGTGCGACTTATAATAAATAACGATTCTTTCGTTCTGCCACTCTATTTTGTTGTGTAGTAACAATACATGAAGATTGATGAATAATGCCATTTTGTAAAAAGAAAGGAAGTAAATGTCGATGAGAAATACTCCTTGGCATTATCACTCCTTAAGATATGTATAGATTTGTCAAATAGAGTTTTAATCTAAAAATTGAGAATAGTTTAGAACGATTTTTCATAAGATATAATTAAGTAACACGAGAACGATCATCCACAAAAGTAACAAAATAACGAAAATTAGACTTGGATAAAATAGCTGAATGTATTAAATCAAAAGGAGACACAACCCGTTTATTCATTCTAGGAGAATATGACATTCTATAATATTTTGTTAATTAACACGACTCACAATTTAATTGAGACACTTGACTAAGTTTAGGACATAAGTGCTTCAAAACAGGGAGAGAAGGATGACCGAAGCGACAATGGAGCTGCAGAAGAGAAGAAGTACTAGTGCATGTAGTCGATCTTGGCAGCAGTATAGGGGAAGAATCTAGCACATATAAGCCATTGAGCTCATGCCCTCTACCAATAATCTGCTTCGTCCCGAAAGAAAAGAACACTACAATCAAGGGATTTAGTAATTTGACTCACAGATAGAAAATTGAAAGGAAACTTAGGTAAACATAAAATGGATGGCATTGGTAGAGAGTTTGTTGGATGTGCAATCCCACATCAACAAGAGGAGTTGTAGACCCAGAGTATTGAAGTGATGAAAGTATATCTGTATTCCCGGTCAGATGATCTATGGCATCAGAATCAATGACCCAATTATGGGATGTGGTAGAAAGACATACTATAGAATTACCTGTGTCGGCTAAAGTGGAAGTGAAAGTAGAAGGTGTAAGAGGCTATTGAGAAGCGTAAAATTGTGTAAAGGGGCATATTCATTCGCTGGAATTGTAGTTTGAGGAAGAGTATTGAAGTGATGAAAGTATATCTGTATTCCCAGTCATATGATCTGTGGCATCGGAATCAATGACCCAATTATGGGATGTGGTAGAAAGACACACTATAGAATTACCTATGTTAGCTAAAGTGGAAGTGAAAGTAGAAGGTGTAAGAGGCTATTGAGAGGCGTAAAATTGTGTAAGGCGGACATATTCATCCGCTGGAATTGTAATTTGAGGCTGAGTAGAAGGTGTAGGTAAAAGACCATCTTGAACGGCAACATTTACAAACTTTCTCATGGAAGTCTGACTTGTGTTCTTTGCTGGTTTACCATTCAATTTGCTAACGGTTCCTTCTAATATGTCATTGCACTCCACAATAATAACAACCACTAGAACCACCGCTAGAAATTTTATCTCGACTACCTCCTTCTCCTCCTTTATTATTGTAATTGTTATTTAATTTTGAATTTGTGCCAACTAGAGCTACCGTCTCATTTGGTACTATACCTTGCTCCTTGTCATTGTCCTTGCATACCCGAAGGAGACGAGCTTATATATCACTCAACGAAGTTAGTGTCTCATTGGTAAGTAACTGAGTACGAGTCACCTCATATTCAGGACCCAATCCTGCAAGAAAACATTGAACCACAATCTGCGCTTCTTGTTCTTGCATCTTCTTCACATCACTAATAATAGGAAACATGGCTTGCTTTTCTTCAAATACTCATTTTACTTGCTTAGTCGGATAAATTTTTAGCATTAGTTCATGAATATGTGATACATCATGTTTTCTAGTATACATAAACTCTAGATAGTCCCATAGTTCTTTCACAATATCACAATGATTAATAACATCATCAACTGTCAGTCAAGGGTATTCTGAATCTGATTAAAGAGTTTATCATCATCCATCAACCATTTTTTTCGAATCCTCGGATTAGTATTAAAATGTGGAGGTGGGTCATCAGTCAAATGGTTGCCCAAATCTAAACTTGATACATACCTACGGAAAATTCTCTTCCATTGAGCATAATTTCTACTACCCATTAACTTTATTTCTATGATTTTTGCAGATGGGGTTACTGTGATTTCATTCATCATTTTTCATCACCATCCGCCATTGATTATCAGAGAACCAAAAGGAACACAAAATAAACTCCAAACCACTTTAATAATAATATTAATTCAACAATAATGCACGTCCAGTAAAACGCAGCTCAAACAAAACAAAATAAATCAATTCAACCAAAATAAAATGAAACTGACCCGCCTCAGCCCAAACTAGCAACTCGTTTGCAGTCCAAACAAACACAGTCCACTCTGCACTCGACTCAACCACCGGAAGGAGAAGAGGAAACGATGAAGCAGAGAAGTCAAGGAAAACGACGAGGCCAGATGCTTAGATGTTCTGTCACACCAAACACTCGCCACATGCAATGGGTTATTGGAGACGGACTGTCGAGCTAGAAAGAACCCGAGTTGGAATCACAAGAAGTCGCGGAACGCTCGGTGTAAACCAATTTCTGCCGCTATGCTTCTGAT